ATGTTTAAAAAAAGCCTCTTATACTCGTTTATTTGATCAATACAATCGATACAGTAAAACTAGTAATATTGTAAAATGCTATTACAATTTAAAATGAATTTTTTCTATTTTATTTATTTATGATTTAACGCCATGTCAGCAGCAGTGGCTATATTCATGGCAAGAGGAAACATTTCAATTTCACAATTTAGTCATATATATCTCATTTCAAAACATTTTTTGTTTGAAAATTATATAAATAAATAAAATGTACAAATATTCAAAAACATACATATAATAAAAATAACAACAAGAACAAAAGTAATAAGAACAATTATATAGAGTTCTTCAGCTTAATGCATGACACAAATTTTACTTTTTTCTATTTGAATACATTTTAAAATGCAATATATTCCTGTGATGGCAAAGCTGAATTTTCAGCAGCCATTACTCTTTAAAGTCACATGATCCGTTAGAAATCAATTTAATATGTTAACTTGCGGCTCAAGAAACATTTCTGACAATGATCAATGATGAAACAGTTGTGCTGCTTAATATTTTTGTGGAACCCTGATAGATTTTTTTCAGGAACAGCATTTATTTGAAAGAGAAATCTTTTTTTAACAATGTAAAAGTATTAACTGTCTTTTTTTTATCAATTTAATGCATCCTTGCTAAATAAAGGTTTTTCTTCAAACTTATTATTGGTATGTTTGAGCTATGACTGTAACTACTATGTAATATAAATACTCCAATCACAGAATTAGAGTATATAAAATGTGGTAGGTAAGGCTTACTTAAGATAAAGCTGCTGTTTGGCAATGAGGTATTTTGCACCCTAGAGGATGAAAAGGATACAAAACAAAAGCAACAACAAAAAAAACATTAGACTTCATTTTAAAGTATAATTACATAAAAATTGAACAACAGTAATCAGGTAGACTAGCCTTTCCAGGAGGAATCCGTCCATCTTTGACCATTTCCACAAGGGGCTGAACTTCATCCCTCAATTCTGTAAGCTGAGTATGCAATAAACACTCAAATTTATCAATAAAACAGCATTAAGGGAAAGCAAAAAGCAGCATAAATGTCATTGCAGCAAATCTCTACCTTTGCTTTGAAGTCCTGAATAAGTTCCAACAACTCTGGTGATTCTTTCTTTAGCAGTTTGAGCTTTTCCTTCAGTGACATGGTCTTCAAATCCTTTACAATCCTTTCCTCTTTTTCAACCTCCTTCTCTGCTTCAGCCGCTGCTGCAAATTCCTAAAAGTCCACAGGAAGGGTACAAGGACTTTGGGTAATATGACCCAAACACCTAAACTCTACTCATAGCTTTAGAAAACAAAGTAAATGCAGTACCTCAAGAAGGTTTAGATCATAGTCTTCCTCACTTAGGTTGGCTGCCAATCTCGATTGAATTTTTTTGGCCTCCTCTTCCTCTTCTTTGTCTTCTGCCTCTATGTCTTCAACAGATTTGCCCTCTGCAAAATACAAAAATCACTATATGTATTTTACACATATGAATGATATATCTTACACATGCTTAGGGGTGAGTCAGACTCGTAACACAAAGGTTGCGGGTTCGAGTCTCGTACCGGCAGGGATTGTAGGTGGGGGGGAGTGAATGTACAGGTGCATCTCAAATTAGAATGTCGTGGAAAGTTCATTTATTTCAGTAATTCAACTCAAATTGTGAAACTTGTGTATTAAATAAATTTAATTCACACAGACTGAAGTAGTTAAAGCATATTACCATCATCTTGCTTTCCTTCCAAGTCACTCTCCATGTCTGTCTCTTCCTCTTCTTCATTATCCTCTTCCTGCACTTCCTCATCATCATCTGAATCAGAAAGTGCCAGGGGCATGATCTCCTCCTAGAAAGAAAAAACTATTATTGCTGATCACCAAGCAAAGCGGAAACGGTCAAACTACTACCATAAGTAAAAAAAAAAAAAATCTTCTTTTTAGTTCCCCAAGCCATGTCATTTGGGAGATCTGGAAGAACGGAAATGGAAGTGTCAGAGACAATACCTCAAACATGTTTGAGCATTTTTAAAGTGGAAGAAAATACTTGAATATTCACATAAATGTTTCTTTAATAACACTGTAATGCAAAAAAACATGCATAAACAGTGTTATATTTGGCTAATCTTTAAAGCATATTACCATCATCTTGCTTTCCTTCCAAGTCACTCTCCATGTCTGTCTCTTCCTCTTCTTCATTATCCTCTTCCTGCACTTCCTCATCATCATCTGAATCAGAAAGTGCCAGGGGCATGATCTCCTCCTAGAAAGAAAAAACTATTATTGCTGATCACCAAGCAAAGCGGAAACGGTCAAACTACTACCATAAGTAAAAAAAAAAAAAAGCCCCATGTTAAAAGTTTTTTTTTAATTGTTTTAAAAGTGGCTTTATTTGCTTACCACTTTATCTTCATCCTCTTGATCGCTGTCTTCTTGAATCCCTTGAGCCAAAAGTTTCTATAGAGAAAGACAAAATTTGAATATTATGTAATAGGATATTATTGTGGCAGTTCATGCTTAAAGAACAAGAGGAAAACATAACTCACTGATATTTTTTCATTGTGGAATTCATCTATTTTATCCTCCACATACTTTGACGCTTTCTGATGAGAAAAACAAAGTTGTTTACAATCAGATAATCACAATAATACAAACCAAGTTTTATCCAAAAATGACCTTATCTGGAATGGCTTCATCTCCATAAGCTTCAGGATCATCACTGTCATATTCTTGCTGCTTCTTTGCTCTAGGCTTTTTTACTATCCTTTGAATTTGGGGAAAATGTAATATTTGAATAAGTAACACTTCAATGGTAAAATCACAAAGAACTTAATTAAATATATTTGCACTGACATTGTAGTGCAGACGTCTGCCTACATAGCTATCTCGTGTCTTTTTGTACAAATTTGTTTTGCAACCATGCAAAATACAATAAATTGGTTGATTTAATCATCGATTTAAAAAAAAAGTATGTTTCATAAACTGATATATCTGCTCTCCGTTATCAAAATATTCTAACGTTGTGATATCGCACAAAACCAGCAATGAATTCCAAAATCAAGTAGACTAACGTTACCTACCTTCTTGCTCGGACCATGCTGTCAACGATTTACAAAAATTACTATTTAATTTTAGTATTCGAGCAGTTATACGGCTCATAAACCAAAACACAAATGGGTGAAAACAGGCCAGCAACTTTCCGCGTGGATTTCCCTCATGCGTTCTTCTTCTTCTTCTTCTTCTTCTTCTTCTTGTACGATTTTATGGCGGTTGACAAGCCAACTTATGGTGTATTACCGCCACCACTGGACTGGAGTGTGAATCAAAATGACTTACTCCCCTCCCCTTTTTTATTTATTTTTTATTTTTTATATTCTCTCCCACAAATGAGTTATTTTAAGGTACTGAAAATAAAACTATCCCCTCATGCGTTTCTTCTTCTTCTTCTTCTTCTTGAAATTTTATTGGCGGTTGACAAACAACAAAATATTTCCGCCACCAACTGGAATGGAGTGTGGATCAAAAATGGACTTCCTTCCCAAATTCCCCCCCCCCTCCTTTTTTCCCCCTTTTATCTATATAAAACAAATCAAATTAAATCTATATATATACATATACATACACATATACATACATATATTTTTTAAATTCTCTCCCACAAATTAGTTATTTTAAGGAACTGAAATATAAAACTGTAGCATTCATTCCATGAATTATTTTGTAACATATATCTCGGTATAAATTGCATTTTTATTTTTTCTAAATTTTGCATTAGCATCCTTCTTTCAGTCTCATATTTCTGACAGTACAATATAACATGTTCCACTGTTTCTTCTTGTCCACAAAATTCACACCTACCCGTATCATGTTTACCCATTTTAAAAAGTATACTATTTAGTCTTGTGTCCAAATCTCATCCTCGATATTACGATCTCATCTCTTCTGTTTTTCCCTGCACTTCTCATCTCTCCCACTTTCCTTTGAATTCTGTAAAACCACCGACCTTTTTTCTCCTTATCCCATTGTTTTTGCCACCTTTCTTTCAGTCTTTTCTTAATAATACTCTTGATTTCATTCTTACTTAGATTAACAATTAAGTTAATGTCGTTGTTTTTAACTGCTTCTTTTGCTTCTTTATCTGCAGTTTCATTTCCTTGGACACCAATATGCGCCGGCACCCATACAAATACCACTGTACTCCCCATCATTTGAATTCTATATAACATTGGCATTATTTCCATTAAAATGTCTCGTCTACTTTCCGAGTGACTGTACTGTAAACTAGCCAATGATGAACATGAATCTGAACAAATAATTGATTTCAAAGGTCTTATATCTTCTATCCACTGTATTGCTAATAATAGTGCAATCATTTCCCCTGTATAAACTGATAACTCATCACTGATCCTTTTCCTTACTGATAAATGAAATTCTGGAACAACCTGTAGTGCTGTAATTGGTGTAGTTTTTATAGCTCCTGTACATAATCTCAGTACCTGATCCTGTATATTATCTACCTTTCTAAGAGATGTTTCTGCTGCTGATCCATACACCACACAACCATAATCTAACACAGATCTAACCAATCCACTATACATGGCCTTTAATGCCATCCTATCTGCCCCCCATTCACTTCCAACTAAACACCTCATTGTATTTATTATTTTCTGACATTTGTTCACTATATTCTGAATATGCACCGCCCATGTAACTCTTTCATCAAACCATATCCCTAAAAACTTAAACTGTTTCACTCTTTCCCCCTCATGCGTTTAGAACGGGAAGTAAACTAACAGTGAGTGAGTGAGTACTTCCTCCAATGTCAAAATTAAAGTCTCAACCACAGTGTATGGTCTCAACAAGCATGTCTATTTTCAGTTTCATCTATCTATCTATCTGTCTTATCTATCAGATAAGCTTTGCTCTAGAGCTTTTTTGATGTCTAGACCCGCCCACTACACCGTGCGCCTCCAACTGATTGGCTTACAGGAGCGCATGCGCCGTCGCTCTCTTTCCAGTGTCGATCCTGAGCAGAGCACGACCAGACTTGGAAGAACACAACTGAAGCGTATCGTCTTTATTTAAAAAAAAAACTAAAAGATCAGTTAAGACTAATAATTTCGGTAAGAATATGCAAAGTACATCAGTTCACACATTGTATTTCATGTAGCCATACACAACACTGTCGACATTTGCAAAAGTGCAATGGTTTTATCAGTTTAATGGAGGGCAGGGTGATTGTGAGCTGCAAACGAACGGCACAGTTTTGTTTAAATTGGTAATGCGCAGCTAGCTAGTCATTTTCTTCCTTTCCGTGTAATGGTTATGTTGTTTTCTTATTTCTAAGAGGTACTGTGCTGAAATGAAAGATTGAGGGAATAGCGGCGAGCTTTGTTTCGGCTGTAGACGGCATCAGTCCATTTGCGCTGGTAAATACAGACGGCGCCATTTTGTCATCTCGCTGGTTTTGAGGTTTGAATGGCTGATGACGCCATGCCATGGATGTTATTGTTAACTCGTATTTAACTAGATGATTTTTATTCAAGAAATCAAAGTGCTGTGGTTCAGAGCTTTTCTCGAACGGCTGGTCATGCCTGTTTGTTTCTATTGTTATGATTCGCTCTTGTATTTCAGTGGTTGGTTGGATTTTGCTGCAAACGTGAATAAGCTCTAGCCTATTTGAGCTCTATGTGCTACTGATGATGCTCGTTTCATATTCGATGTTGTTAAGTTTCTAGCCACTTTGTCTTATTTCAGCATAAATCTGAATTGTGGTGACATTGGAGCGTTTGATTTACGTGGATATCTTGTGAAAAGCGTTGCTGCAATAGACATCTCTAAGTTAAGTTTTTTTACACAATGCTTTCAAAGTGCAATTAACAAACTTCAACCTTGATGTCTTATTTTAATTATTTGGTTGATGGTAGTTACTATCTGTTTTTACATGCATTCAGGTTTATGTTCACATGGTTAGTGGCCTCTGATTATGGGCCCTGGTTTCCACCTCTGGGTTGTTAAGACTCTTAACGTTATTTAACTGGTAGAATGTAGGACATTGTCACATTTTGGTCTAAATACACGTATGTAAGAACTAACCTAGTTTTTGTAGGTTCTGGTGGTAGGTGATCAAATAGGCCTATTTCTCTCCCATTTAAACGGTTCATGTAGAAATGAAAATTGTCATGTTCTCACCCAAACAAAAAAATTCAGTCATCATCGAAACACAAATGAAATGTTTTTAATTAAATCTGTCTATCCTTTGAAAGATCATGCAACCAAAACTTAAGCACATCAAAAAGTACATTAAGAGTAGCCTAATCCAGTGGTTCCCAACCCTGGTCCTGGAGGCACCCCAACACTGCACGTTTTGCATGTCTCCTTTCTCTGACACACCAATTTCAGGCCTTGGAGTCTCTACTAATGAGCTGATTACCTGAATCAGGTGTGTTTGATTAAGGAGACATGCAAAATGTGCTGTGTTGGGGTGCCTCCAGGACCAGGGTTGGGAAATGAAGAGGTTTGATGAATGTGAGAACCAGCTTCTGTTTACCGCAAAATGTGCAGTGTTGGGGTGCCTCCAGGACCAGGGTTGGGAAATGAAGAGGTTTGATGAATGTGAGAACCAGCTTCTGTTTACCTTATTTGTTGAGCTCCATTTTTTTAGATTAACCCACTCAATTCATATGGGTTGTCTCTTAGTTTCTCTTTTTGTACTTATTGATGCATTACTTTTGGTTGCGTGGACTTTAAATGGATGCACAAAAATGAAAGAATATGAAAAATATCTTTTGGATTTGGATGAACTGGAGTCTTGAAGTTGAGTAAAAGACTTGGAGGGTGTAAATGTGTCATGGATTAGCCTAAATTGAGTATGAAACTGAAAAAAAGGTTTCTAAAAATGTACAATGGTTATTCTGTTGTTTTTAGTGTCACACTGGCTTTTTTCAGATTTTCTGTATGTTTACAGTTTACCGAATTGAAGGTCAGAAATGCACGAGTTAGGTTAAAGATAAGCTAGATGCTATTAGATATGTTCTCTAATTACGTTTCTTTCACATTGCTCACAACTTAACATTATCAGATTTTCTCTTCACTCTATGGAAGGTCACAATCTGTTTTTGTAGCTTAATATGCTTTGACATGTTTTTTTCCCCTCTCTCTATGAAAAATTGAGTAAAAGACTTGCCATTTATGGAGGGTGTAAATGTGTCATGGATTAGCCTAAATTGAGTATGAAACTGAAAAAAAGGTTTCTAAAAATGTACAATGGTTATTCTGTTGTTTTTAGTGTCACACTGGCTTTTTTCAGATTTTCTGTATGTTTACAGTTTACCGAATTGAAGGTCAGAAATGCACGAGTTAGGTTAAAGATAAGCTAGATGCTATTAGATATGTTCTCTAATTACGTTTCTTTCACATTGCTCACAACTTAACATTATCAGATTTTCTCTTCACTCTATGGAAGGTCACAATCTGTTTTTGTAGCTTAATATGCTTTGACATGTTTTTTTCCCCTCTCTCTATGAAAATGTTCCTGTATTTTTGTGTTGCTATAAGTATGAATGTTTGCTGGGATTCTTGAAATACATGACATGCATGTGTTTTAAGATCAATTCTTATGTGTATGGTAGGGGTGGCACGATACCACTTTTTCAGAACCGATCCCGATCCGATACCAAAAATTCTAAGTATCGGCCGATATCGATCCAATACCAGTGCATTTTTTTTTCATTTTTAAATCCGTGTAGAATTTCTATACCTCAATGTGTGTTGAACTGATCGTCACTCTTTTGTGTGTTGCACACAATACTAAATGTAGACAACTTTCTTATAAAGAAAAAATAACAAACGGAAGAAATATATAATCTATGACAAAAATACTATTATAAGCTAGGTTATTGGATAATTCAGTAGAAAAAGTTATAGAAAAATCATGAGTGCACAATAATTGTATGAAAATCTACATTTTTAGTGGAAAAAAACATTATTTAGTGGGGAACAAATAAAAGCGAATAAGTGTTGGACTAAATCTGGTAAAATGTAAAATACATTCATGAAAAAAGTAATTTATATATAAATATATCGGGCCTACTATAAAATTAAAAGACATTTCTTTTAAATGTATAGCACAGTAATGAGACAGCAACATATGATAGATAAGACGAAAAAGAAAGGCTATTAATAATCTGTCATTGTGCAAAAGTATTATGATACGAAAGGCTCCAATACAGAGCGGCACAAAGAGCTTATGCGCATCCCATGCGCAGAATGATGAGCTTGAAGCAACACAGAGTCACAGCGCTCTGCATGGAAAAGTTCAAAGCACAAAGGGAAGAGACATGCTTAGTGTATTAAATCTGTGCGATAATTTATTGAGCCTTTTCTTTTAACAGTTTAAAATCTCAGTTTCTGTGCTAGTGAAGAACAATTCATAGTGCTCTCTGCTCCAGTGTTGTGATCTAACACGGTAGAACACGATTTAGATACAAGCACGATAAAGTCCTTTTATGCAAAACTAGTTATCTTTATTTACAGATCAAGTATAATATTAGGAACATTAAATCATCTTGGAGAGAGTTTCATCGTCTTGACTGAACCGAACGCGACACACAGTTTGAATGCTGAATGGAGGATGACTGACAGCCGCAGCGGAGAGAAGTTTACGTCACCTTGACTTACATATTCATCTATACTTCACATTAAACTGTGGAACGGCTTCAGAACACTTGGAATATAGTGCACAAAAACTTTATGGTGCTTTTATGATGTTTTTGTAGCTTTCGTGGGGCTTAACAAAAACAAAGAATAGTATATGCAGAATATCGGATTTGGATCGGTCTCGTCTGACCGATACCCGATCCGGCAGAAAATACCAGTATCAGATCGATACCGATACTGAATATCGGACGGCGCACCCCTAGTGAATGGCTTTTGTGAAGCAGCTGGCCAACATCTCATGTGCACAAGTGGTGATTACATGTTTAGTTTTGCTGTACAAGAATGTTATACTAAATGGGCTGGAAATGGCTGGCACTAAATGGTTTTCTTGGAGACACTCATGGGTATGCTTGTTCTAATGCTGTTTACATATATTTCCCTCCGTTTATTCTTTTTATTACAGTCAAGAATTGATTTTAAATGATTGCCGTCAGGATTGGCTTGGGTATCCTGTGCATCTTGTAACGAAGCAGCACTTTTAATACAGGTAAGCATCTGAGGGATCTTAGTCAACTAAAATTAGAGAGATGTGGTCAAATACTTTTATCGTTTATTATCAAAAAATGAAAAATGCATTCACTTACAATCTAGAAATGTGGCTTAATGATTTTTTTTTTCTTAATGTCAGTGCAATACACATTCTGTGCAAATGGTTGACTATCTACCATGCAATTCTCTTTCTATCTTTTTATACAATGCTATTAAAGTTTTGGGGGTCAATAAGAAAATTGATGCAAAAATGTATTTTAGGTTGTTGCTGGTTACTGTAAAATGTTATAAAGCATATTTAAGCCTATTTAGGGTTCCCACGGTTGCTGGAAACCTAGAAATATAAGGAGAATTTTGAAATTGGGATTTCTAAGTCTTTAAGTCATGCAATGTAAGGTTTTCTGGTTCTGCTCTGCTAAGCTATAAATTGCTTTTGGTGAGTGCAATCTCTATTTTTATTTTTTTTAAAGGATTTAAAAAATGTTTATCCATTAATTACAGGTGACTATAAAAGCCATAAATTCATGGGTCAAAAGGTTTGGGAACCCTGTGGTCAGTAAATCATTAAACCAGAAACACTGTAGAATAGGCTACACCAGTGGTCTTCAATCCTTGTCCTGGGGGCCCACAGCACTGCGTATATAGTACGTATATTTTATTTAAAACACCTGAGTCTGATTATCAAGTCATTAGGAGAGATCTTCATGAACTGAACGGAATGTGTCAGATGTGCAGTGCTGTGGGTCCCCAGGACTGTTTTTGCTTAATACAAAATACCAAACGGTGTTATTGGTCTCGGTCGTCTTGTCAGATTTGAAGATTGTGAGTTAAAGGCACAATATGTAATTTTCGCCGCTAGAAGGCCGTATTCAAAGAGACAAAGGCGTAGTTTGATGACGCCGTTACTGAGTGTGGAATCATGGGAGTTGTCGTCTTCATCCCCACAGCCGATGCAATCCGATGGGACCCGGGCAGAAATCATGTTCATGGATGAGCTAATGATTTATTAACATAGTAGAATGAAGCAGGGTGAGGCTGAAAGCCATCGAAGCGAAACGAGGCCACTGAATGAGCGTGACACACGGCTCGAAAGCAGCGGAGCTTTTATTATGCCACAGTCGACCGCTTCCGCTCCTTCTGGTCGTGCGTATGTGGGAAAAAAGCAGCGCTGTTTTATCATACTAGATACTTTTGAAAGTTCTGTTATAATGCTACTCTGTGCGGTCGTCACCGGTCTATTAAAACGCACACCATATTAAAGCGTCTTTGGTGTTTCCATGTTTTCTACAAAACCGGAAATTGAGGGGTTATGATGTCATTGGCAGGCGACACAATGACACTATGGACACGGGCCGTGTCACTAGTTAAAATTGCTTATTTCTCTGGATTTAAACATTCTTCGAAACATTTGGGATAATGTAAGTACACAAGTCAGCAAAATATATAACACTGTTCTAGTGGTTTTTGGATATTTTAATAAACAAAATCGTACATATTGTGCCTTTAAGTTAAACTCCGGCAAATGGCATTTTTAAAATGTTTTTTTATGTAGTAATTTTAGGTAGTATGTAGCGTTTCAAGATGAATTGTTTAAAAATTGTTTTAAATGCACTGAAAATTTCCGTTGTTAAGTTTTGTTCAGCTCAATTCATTAGTCATTTTGTTTTGGTTTGGTTTGTTGCATGCTATAAAATTAAATCAAGTATGGTAGTGTGCTTTGGCTACAACTACAAAGCCATTAAACAATGTGATGAGCTAAGACTTTGTGTTTCCTACTGGCTTTGCAGTGTTACAATTCAAGCTCTATTTATTCTGCTATAATGTGTTTTCTCCCATAATATTTGGTCTTGCTGTTAATTGTCTTCTTGATGGCATTTTTAAAATGTTTTTTTATGTAGTAATTTTAGGTAGTATGTAGCCGTTTCAAGATGAATTGTTTAAAAATAGTTTTAAATGCACTGAAAATTTCCGTTGTTAAGTTTTGTTCAGCTCAATTCATTAGTCATTTTGTTTTGGTTTGGTTTGTTGCATGCTATAAAATTAAATCAAGTATGGTAGTGTGCTTTGGCTACAACTACAAAGCCATTAAACAATGTGATGAGCTAAGACTTTGTGTTTCCTACTGGCTTTGCAGTGTTACAATTCAAGCTCTATTTATTCTGCTATAATGTGTTTTCTCCCATAATATTTGGTCTTGCTGTTAATTGTCTTCTTGTGGTTTGTATACTGGTTTTCTGTTATCTTTTTGCCTTTTACCATAGCCTGACAGTCGTTGCCTTCTTTCATCTACAGGTGTGTGTTGTTGCACCTCAGCATGGCTGTGGTCATCCGTTTGCAGGGTCTCCCCATTGTGGCTGGGACTATGGACATACGCCATTTCTTCTCTGGATTGACCATCCCGGATGGTGGTGTGCATATTGTAGGGGGTGAACACGGTGAGGCTTTTATCGTGTTCGCCACAGATGAAGATGCAAGGCTTGGGATGATGCGCACAGGGGGGTCGATCAAAGGTTCCAAGGTTTCTTTGTTGCTAAGTAGCAAAACTGAAATGCAAAATATGATTGAGCTCAGCCGTAGGCGCTTTGAAACTGGCAGTACAGAGGTTACAACAGGAAATGGCAGTAGGCCGGGTCCACCGGTTAGTACTGGTGGAAGTGGAAGGGGCAACTTGCCAACCACAGCACAAAGTTTTAGTAACACAACTTCAACTACAGCCACCACAGCAGCATCAGCACACGAGCCTGTAAGCAACAAGACAGTCCCTACCTTTTCCACCACTACCATGGGCAACATGCCCCCAAACTTTAATAATTTCAGCAGCCCAAGTCTTAGTTTGGGATCCACAATGACCACAGCCATGTCGTCGCTGAACTCTTTACCTCCCCCGATACCTCCCTTGCCCACCATGTCAACTCTACCACCGATGCCCCCCATACCAGTACCACCACCAGTTGCCACATTGCCACCGGTACCAGTTGTTAATCCGCTAACATCAGTTCCTCCTGTCCCTCCCATTGCACACATGCCGCACATGCCACACATGCCTGCACTTCCTCCATTCAACCCTGGTGTCCCTCCCCCAGTTGGCCCTGTCGCTGGTGGTTTAGCCTCTGGTCCACTGTCTCTCGGAAATCCCAATCCAATGTTCCTAAATCCCCTAAACCCTCTAAACCCCCTGAACCTCCAACCTCACATGAAATCGCCAGTGACAAACCCAGATGAGTTTTATGTTCATCTACATGGCCTTCCTTTTTTAGCCACTGAAATTGAAGTTAGAGATTTTTTCCAGGGACTTGGGATAGAGTCAGTTCGTTTGCTCAAAGACAACCTGGGTAGAAACAATGGCAGGGCATTGGTTAAGTTCTTCTCACCCCAAGAATCTTTTGAGGCTCTGAAAAGAAACGCAGGAATGATAGGCCAAAGATACGTTGAGGTTTCTCCAGCTACAGAGCGGCAGTGGAGAGAGAGCTTGGGACAGTGTAAAGCTGGTGGTGATGCCGAACACAGCCGTCATCGTCGCAGAGGCACCAATTCGCCACCACCCTGTGGCCGTGAGCGAGCCAGATCCCGATCTCCCCACAAACTAGAATTCTGTGTCTATTTGAAAGGACTCCCATATGAAGCAGAAAACAAGCAGATCTTTGAGTTTTTCAAAAATCTTAACATTGTTGAAGATAGCATTTACATTGCATATGGACCCAATGGCAGGGCAACCGGTGAGGGATTTGTCGAGTTTAGGAATGAAACAGACTACAAAGCTGCTCTCGGATGCCATATGCAGTACATGGGTAGTCGGTTCATACAGGTGCATCCAATCACAAAGAAAAACATGTATGAAAAGATAGACACCATTCGCAAACGGATGCAGGGTTCCCAAGGCGATCAAAAGAATAGCTCGGGTGAAGGAGGAAAGAGTGCCAAGAATTGTGCTCACATAACCAATATTCCCTATAACGTGTCAAAAAAAGATGTCCGCCTGTTTCTTGATGGCATTCAGTTGTTTGAGGAAAGCCTCAAGGTGTTAGTTGATGCAAATGGTAATGGTCTTGGCCAGGCTATTGTGCAGTTTAAGTCTGATGAGGATGCACTTAAAGCAGAGAGACTACATAGGCAGAAATTGAATGGCAGGGATGCTTTCGTTCATTTAGTAACATTCGAGCAGATGAAAGAAGTTGAGAGAAATCCTCCTCCCCAGGCAAAAAGAGGCCAGAAATCTCAAGGAAATTCCCATGCTCATGCCTATGCACACTCTCAGCCCCAGGCCCAAGTTCCCCAAGCACCTCATGCTTTTCCAGGAATGACAGGGGATGAGTTTAGTTTTCTGAGAAATGCTGTAGGGACCCTTGGCAACGGTCCCCCTTTTATCAACCCATTTATTGCCCCAGGTAACGGACTGGCAGCTCCGCCGCCTTTGCCGCCACTTGGTGGTGCTTTGGGTGATGTCTCGTTTAGCATTCCCCCGCCAATGGTTGGAGGACCTTTGCCCGGTCCTATTCTAGAGCATCCTGGTTTCAGACCCGATGGCAACAGTGTACCTGCCGGCTTTGTTAGTGTGCTAGAGCCCTTAAGGGGCATCCCACCTTTTGATAATGGATCTTCTCTTAAAGCAGTCAGCCAAAATCGTGGCAGTGGCCAAGGTCAGCGGCCAGCTTCTGAGAGTTTAAGAGGACCATCCAGCGGTGGTCCAGGTAATTCGCGGCCCACCATTGTCAAAATTCAAAACATGCCCTTTACTGTGACCGTTGATGAGATTATTGATTTCTTCTACGGCTATCAAGTGTTGCCTGGTTCAGTATGCTTGCAATTCAGTGAGAAGGGTTTGCCCACTGGGGAAGCGATGGTTGCTTTTGACTCCCATGATGAAGCAATGGCTGCTGTTATGGACCTGAATGATAGGCCCATTGGGGCAAGAAAAGTTAAGATCACTTTGGGGTGAAAGCAACATCTTAGTATTTGCAAAGTGTCTTATTTTTTGACACGGTTTTCTGGAAAATGTCCTTATCCGGTTTTATGTACAGAAGAAAAAAATGACAAGTATTAGATTCTCTCTTTTTTCCTGGACATATTATTTATCCGAGGTTGTAGTAGTTACATGAAGCATGTAATAATTGTGGAAAGACCCTGTTTTTTTTAATTCCTCTAAACAGCATTGTTTATAGTGGTATGTTCAATAGAGCCTAATATCTGCGATAGAGGTTAGCTGGCAAGTACGTTTCACTCTCAGAATTCCTCAGTTTTTGTATCTCTGCTCAAGTTTTACACATCTGTATATGATCCATGCTGCATCTACACATATCTTTCTGAGGTAAAAACCGTGCTGCCATGCATTTTGTGCTAAATTCAAGCCTACATTTCAGTTACAATGTTTGCTCTCTGCTGCAAGCTTTTCTATATGTCAATAAAATGCAAATGTTCATGTCTTTTTCATTATCTGTTGCTGTCACATTGGATTGCTTTAAAAAGCCTGATGTCAAACCAATTCTGTAAATGCTAAGCGGGATGTGAAGCAAATGCAGAATTGTAATATGTATATGAAAGCATTTTATTCTCTATGCTTAGCTTCAGTTCTCTTGTTGCTGTGGTGTTTGATGATAGTTTCCTTTTTTCTTTTTTTTTTGGATGTTTGGCTTTTTTTTCAGTGTTGCTGAAATGGATCGGTTGTTATGCTTCGTTTTCGACGTTCCAGCGCTTTTTCTCTTGTAAATACTTTCCAGCTGAACTATTTTGTCAATAAAATGCCTTACTTGAAATGATGACACTTAAAGTTATTGTGTTCTCTCCTGTCCTTCTGTTTTTTTCCAGTTCAGATATGAACAATAAAATCTTTTGCTGTGACTTGTTTCCAATATTAAACATTTATATTTTAAATATTTTTTCATCAGATGTGTTATTGTAGAGATTGGACTCGAGCTCTAATCTATTGCTTGTTGCTTTAGACTGTCTTTATATTGTAGTCTTTACCTTTTCTCACAATGCATTATTTAAAATGTATTTTTTTTATACCTGAGATGAGAAGGCACTCTTTGAATGTTTCATATTTTCTGCTACCACAGATAAGCATCTCCGATAAAAGCATCATACTGTTGAATGAGTTTTGTTTGTTTAGAGTGGAAAAGTTTTTGTTCAGTCGAGTCAGGAAGCTAAATTTTGTAATTATTTTAGTATAGATTCTATTGAACTATATCAGATTTAGTCATATGCCTAAAGCTTCGTATATGGATCAAAAACCCATGAAATTCTGCCCTTGTGCCACAGATGGCTTTTTAAAAATGCTGTCTCTCCATATGTAAAATTAAAGAGGAACACGTTTTTGAAATTTGTTCTGATGTTATACAAGGGAATGAACAATTCTCATGCAAACTGCACTGAGAGGTGCATGAAATGTTTCACTGGTATGGCTGTGGATTATGATGGCAAATGTTATGCTGCATAAAATTTGCTTTTCTAAAGATTTTTCATTTAATCACATGGTTGTCATTTCTCTCCAACTTTTTTTTTAAAAAGAATTCTACACCTTCTCAATGCCTTTCTATCAAAGCAGGTCAAGTGGGATTGCTCTCAAATGCTGTTCTTTGATGCTTTGAATCTGCTTGTGATGGTCCTGTTCAGAAGATCAAAAGTTCAGGGTTATTTATGCAAGTTCTTTCTATTTGGGTTGATCTTTTGTACTTTTGTTGTGAAATGCTTTAGAATTAAATTCAAAATGAGTTGAGTGGATTTCTGCCTGTTTCGCATTCTCGAGCGGTTCTCCAGCTTTGTGGACTGCATATTTTGCTTTGTGCCTTTTTGACACTAAGCCTTGGTTCCTGATTAACATGTTAATGTTCAGGTAAGTGCTAATCACAGACATGAATACTGCTATAAACTACCAGTGAGCATTGAATTGTCTACCAGATTTATTACTGTTTGTTCTACATTTCAAAGGAAGAATGCATTGTATGTGAAAACATGGAATTGATCAGCTTTGTTTTGAGAAATAAAATGCTGCTATGCATTGCCACAATTTTGAAAAGATTTGGGCTGATACTGCAACAAATGTTTTCCAAAATAGCTAGATTTTGTTGAGGTATGCAATTGAAATTCTGTGCCTATAAGTGATTGATGTGGTGAGACTGGTGTTGAGGAGTGAGGTTTTTATAGACATTAGCCTATATTTTGATTGCGCTGCAATATCAAGAAGCAACAAATGCCTCTAATTTGTCACTCTGAAAGATTGTCCAAAAAATAAGGTACAGAGTAATATAGGAACTTGTTCTGTATTGTTTGTTCGCTTTTTGCCAATAATTGGGCCCAGTTGAGTGATCTCTGTTACTATGGAGACAGCGGTCAAGGAAAGCACGCTCTGCTAGTTGTTTTTTAACCCAGATGCTACTACAGGTTGCGCTTAAACCAGTCGAGACCTTCTGTGCTGTGGCACTACAGATGCTGGTAGAATACGTAACAAATATAAAGCTGCTTGCTGATTGATCGCTGCATTGTTGGGTGTATTAGGTGAAAGTATTATAAACTCATGCAGTCAAGCTGTTATTAACGCTGAAACGCTATTTTCACAGATTCAGTTGGCAGTTGTGGTTACACGCGTGTTTTAATATCATGTAATGAGTGTAAGTTCACGACGTTGGTTAAAATTAGAACTGCTTGTTGTTGCGTCCCGTGTAATGAGTCAGTCCACGTTAGTTTCATGCACACTGCTCTGTGCTGCGGGCTGGTGCGGTGATTGACAGGCTTCTGGCCAATCGCAGAGTAGTTCAGCTGGCGTTCTGACCAATAGCGTTGCACGTCTGGAGAGGAACTGAATGGCAACGCCCTGCTCATTTTGTAGTACATGAACGTCTGGGTGGAGACGGTAGTTTTTGCTCAGAGTATCTCCGAACAGTTTCTACAGTTTGAAAATTGTTAAGGGTATGATATTTTATTTTCACGGTCGCATTTGTCAGCTCATTTTGTATTAGCGGTTGCCTGTTTTAGATTCCCGGTACGCCGTTAAACAATGCATACATGGTTTTTAATCGCGTTATAATACATTTAAGGCGTGACTGTCGACATTTAGGCCAACAGATACGAGATTTACCTCATGTTTTAAAACGCATAGCTTTGTGAAATGGAGCATGCATGGTTCGACGATTATATGAACTTTTGTTTTGCTTTACTACGGACAAGTTCAGAAGAATGCGTCCTTCTGAACAATTCTTTCCCTTTCCTTCATCAAACATTTCACTTCCTCACGTTTGTACGCTTTAGTGATTCATAGAAGATGTTTAGCTTCGAGACAAAAACTTTCTACAAGTTTGTATCTGTTGTGGTTTTCAGATGGCCGCTCATTGTGTGTCGAAGGTCGAGCTCTCCATCTCTTGCAATAATCTGCTGGATAAAGATGTTGGATCCAAATCTGATCCACTCTGTGTTCTGCTGCAGAGTGTCGGGGATGACAAATGGTCAGAGGTATGCATGTTAACCCTTAAAAAGCCGCGGTGGCTACATTGCAATCAAATAACATTCATTTTTTACTGAGTATAACAGCAGCTTACACTAGCTGCAAGTTTTCATCGGGCAAAAAAAGTGCTGAATGTCACAGCTTGCTAAAGTTGCGAGTCGCTGATTATTGGCATCAATACGAGCAGTAATTTCTGTTATTTATAATTTCGATTATTTATACAATCACGGATTATTAAATTATTTAAAATGTAATTTACTTTTGTTGGTGTGTATATCCTTGTTTGCTTAATGTATGTGATCACTGCAGGTGGAACGCACAGAGAGAGTGAAGAATTGCCAGGACCCCGAGTTCTCAACAAAACTTCACATTGATTACCACTTTGAGAAGGTGCAGAAACTAAAGTTTGGCATCTATGACATTGACAACAAGTCTGTTGACCTCAAGGATGACGACTTCTTGGGAGGCTTTGAATGCACCCTTGGCCAGGTATGTATCATGAAGAGTGTTGCATTGAGATGTGCACATTCTTATGTGAAATCTGTTCTGTGATAGTTGCAACCATGCTGTGCTAATATTAGTGGCACTGGACTTCATTAAGTAAGGGATAATGTACGTCCAGCCGATTGTTATCATAGAATTAAGCCCGACAGCACTAGTACTGTGTAAGACTGAAGGGCTTTATTTTGCGATAACCAGTTGGATGTACGTTATTCAGTTTATTACACGGCTACTTGCCACTAAACAAAATAATTAGACACAAAATATTGATTTGAGTTGAAATATTTGAATGCGAAGCTTCTGTGAAGAAAGCAGTTGCTAGCAAGTGGCAAGTTCAAACTAGACGGGCATTAAGAGATATGGTACAGTCATACTACTTATTACACAGCATTTCACCACATGAATAATTATGGCAATAAAAGATACTGATTTAAGATTAAGTTGTTTTTCAATCTTGCCAGTTTGTTATTTATCTTACAATCCATTACAGTGTACAAAACAGTCATCGCAAAATGGCAACAGCTGCGTTTGTATGAAACGAGAACAAGTCTGCAATACCAAAATGATATAATTAAAGATTTGTACGGAGAATATTGATTTGAGTTTTATTTGCCAACCAAACGCAAAGCTTCCATGAAGAAAAAATGTTCCCAGCAAACGAATAGCACCGCCTGCTGTTACCTGGATGAGCCTGTGTAATTAGTTTTTACCGGTTGTTATCGGGGAATAACATGCCTTAGAATGTGGTGACTGTCCAATCAGAATCGAGTATTCCACAGAGCCGTGTAACAACAATGTATAACACAGGCATAATGGTGTTTTAGTGTTAACAATACACTTCAATTCACAGCTTTGTTTATGCACCAAACTTTACAACAGATTGTGTCAAGCAGGAAGATTACCAGACCCCTTCAGCTCAAGGCAGCAAAACCAGCTGGGAAAGGCACAATAACAGTATGTGTTCATAAACACTCTTACTGCTATTTCTAATGTCAACACTGGTAAAAGAAAATGGAAATTTATCACATGAGAGTTTTACCACCTTCCCAATGAATGTTTTACAGACCACATAATTCAATTCATTTGCATTTGCGGTGTCTTTATTTGCAGGAGAATTTAAGAGCTTCACAAAAGAATGATTCATTTGCATATTGTAGGTTTTTAGTAAACCACAAAAAGCCCTCTGTTTGAGCAAAATAACATTTTCATTTGTGAATGTATGCAAAGTTTGTCAATTAGCTATTCATTAGCTTTATATATACATTTATTAGCTTTTTTAATCAACATTTAGCAATGTTGTCTTTTTTTTTTTTTTTTTGTTATGAACAGATCACAGCTGATGAGGTGAAAGACAACAGGGCTGTTGTGATGGAAGTAGAGGCCAAAAACCTGGATAAAAAGGTAGATATAATCAGCCTCTGTGTTCTTGCATCTTGCTGTAACCATTTATAATCTGTACCGTATCAATTATAGTTACTGCTGGCTTACCACAAAAATTATTGCCATATTCAGTGTAAAAGCAGTTATGTACTGTTGTGATCTATGGAAGATGCACGTTTTATTCACTACTACTTTCAGGATATGTTTGGGATATTGCAAGGTTCGAACAATCTTCATCTGTCACGTATGAAAACATACTAAGCGGTATTGTGTGTTGAAAGTTGCAGAATTGTTTAGAATAATTTTATGATAATGATGATAAATAATCTCCATACTGTCTTTCAGCTTGAGGCACAGTATTCATTTCTGGATTATGTGATGGGAGGTTGCCAAATTAACTTCACGGTAAGATCTGTCAGGCCACAACATTTGCCTCTGATAGCAGGTGTTTTTTCTGGATTCATTTACATGCCGATGTAATGAATGGGTACAATGCAGAACATTACATTTAGGATGTCAATTCTAGGCTGTATGGCTTAAACTCTAAAACAAAGGTGAATATTGTTTGGTTTTAGGTGGGCATTGACTTCACTGGCTCTAATGGAGACCCCCGCTCCCCTGACTCTCTGCACTATCTCAGCCCTAATGGCGTGAACCAGTATCTGTCAGCCATCTGGTCCGTTGGCCAGGTAGTCCAAGACTATGACACGTAAGAGAGAGATTTTTGTCCGTAAAGTTCACCCTTTGAGCACTGTACTGAAATAATTGTTGTAGGGAAAGTATAGAAATTTAAAAATTGTTTGAAAATCATTGTTTTGTTTTGTTTTGTAAGAAATTAATACTTTTATTCAGCAGGAATGCATTAAATTGATCAAAAGTGACCGTAAAGATTATATTTAACAATACTATTGTTTTTTTTAATTTAATTTTATTAAAATAATTCCAGCCTTAGTGAGCATTGGGAATTTTGTGTGTGTGTGTGTACATAGAAGTCATTTTTTTCTTCTCCTGTAGTGATAAACTTTTCCCAGCATTTGGATTTGGTGCTCAAGTGCCTCCAAACTTCCAGGTTAGCCATTACAGGTGTCCTTGATACTTATTCATTGTTAGTTGTAATAGAAATTTAATTCAACAAAAGTAAGTTTTTGCAATTTCTTAGGTATCCCATGAGTTCCCATTGAACTTCAACGCCAATAGCCCATATTGCCAAGGTGAGACACACAATGTTTGAAAATTTGGATTTGAAATTGAACAATTACACACCTGTTTGACTAGAACACGGTCTAAGATGCTTGTCACATGGCTGATGTTTTATACCATGCAGGAGTGCAAGGCATTGTGGACGCCTACCGCATGGTTTTGCCTCAAATTCGTCTCTATGGACCCACCAACTTCTCCCCCATTATAAATCACGTGGCCCGAATTGCAGCCGAAGCCGCCCAGCAAACAAATGCAGCAGTGAGTAACTCCACGTGCCTTTTTTGTAGTGTGCTGCCTCATGCACAGGATGTGGTTTGATGGGTAATCATGTGTCTTTGATCTGTGGTTTGCCATGGTATTTTCAGTCCATTAGCATTATGTGTGTCTTTTTCTCTGTCTCTAAATTAGCAATACTGTGTGCTGTTGATCATCACTGATGGAGAGATCACTGATCTCGATCAGACCAGACAATCCATCGTGAACAGCTCCAAACTGCCCATGTCTATCATCATCGTGGGTGTGGGTGAGGCAGACTTTAAGGCCATGGAGTTTCTGGATGGGGACAATGGAGTTCTCAAATCTTTGACCGGAGAACCGGTGGCCAGAGATATTGTGCAGTTTGTGCCGCTCAAGCAGTTTGCCAGTGTATGAGCCTCTTAAAATATGAATTGGTTTAAAGTTCTTAAATTCACATCCAGTGTTTTCTGTAATTACATCACTGTCAGTAATTATGCCATTTCTTTTTACATCTCGTTTCTCCTTAGGCTCCTAAAGAAGCGCTGGCTCAGAGTGTTCTAGCCGAGGTGCCAAATCAGCTGGTGTCATACTTCAAAATGAGAAATATGGCTCCTGTCACCCCTCCTTCACCTGTCAAGTAGACGCAGGTTTGCTCTGGAGACTGAATTGTAGGTATAAAAGAAATAAGAGTTAGTTAGAATTAGTATGGGTCACCACTAGAGGGAACCACAGCTCTGTTAAAGGAAGCACTGTGGCGGTGTTGAACTCTAATGAAGACAACTTGTATTTTCCTTTTTTATATATTATGCAAATAATTTTCATTCTCAGTTTTTCATATTTTTCTTTTACTTTCCAAGATTGTTATTCCTTATATTATTCTTTTCCAACTGGAAAAGAGTTTATATAAATGTCTTTTTTTTTATAGATCTATTTCGCTATATTGTTCCATATATTTTTGTATTATTGTTCATGAATATAGATGCCTTGAGTTTCTTAAGCCAATATTTGTAATCACTTTTAGGCCTTGCTCTGCTTTTTGATGTAGATGTATGCAATATCAATCAGGAATGCTGTTTTATGAAATTTCCTGCACTTTCTGCGATACAGTATTTGACAGAAAAAAGTGAATGACTCATTCAACCACTATGCTGCAATTAATAATCATGCTGCCATAATAGAGATGAGTAGCTATAACCTTGCCAAAGAAATTGCTGCATGTTTTTCACTAGCATACTAAAGTTGCATGAAGCTAGATTCTTTGATATTTGTTTTGCCAATATGTTATCATTGTTTTGACCAAGATATATTGAGAATCATTTAGAATGCATATATACTATGTAGTATGAATTTGAATAGAATGGCATTTTAAAATACTGGTTTACTGGTATAAAGACATAGACATTGGGACCATAGAACTCCTTATCCGTTATGCCTTTTTATTTTGAGGATTTTGTACATTTGTGTGGAATGACAGAAGTAGTGCTGTTAATTTCATTTATCTAACACAAATGTTTGCACCTTAATCGCACAGTAAAGTCAGTTGCACTTCTCCACTATATCTATTGATTTTAGACATGTACTCTTGCGCTTGCCACATGAAGCCTTATGGGGCCGTTATCTTGTTTAAAGATTCTTTTTAATCTAATGATTTAAAGGGAATAGTATTGTAATCATATTATGAATGTTTTTCTTCCCATCATTTTTTTTTCTCCGTAATCATGAAATATGATGTTTACACGGCAACATGTTCTTCAGAAGCCATTGTCACTCAGTTACACCAATTGTGGTGTCAAAAACGGTCAAAAAATGCTAAATAAAATAAAATAGCCTTATTAAAACACAGTGTGTGCGTGTGGTTGTGGTTGTGTTTGGGGGGGGGGGGGGGGGTGTTGTCATGTGTGCAACAAAAAGGCATAGTTTTATTTCAATAAATTTATCCAGTTCTCTTATTATTTGGAGTTCATAGAATTTAAATGCAGAGGTGTCACGCCCTTGGTTCAACTGTTAACTATTCTATTGAATTATGATAGGTAAATATTACAACTGGTCTTCTGGCTGGGGAGTTTTCTGTTAGATGGAATTCCAGCAGTTCCTCAAGGTGTCGGATCGTATGCTCTGACTTTGAAGGCTACATGAATACTGGATATTTAACAGCGGACTAATTGAGGATGTATTTGTCTAGTACTTATTTTAAGTCAGATTTGAGTATTGTGTTTGTACCTTAAGAACAATGAAGACCAACTTCACTCAAAGCTAACAGAGTGGATCAGGATTACAAGACACAGAAAAACAGCAGCGCTTGACCATGTCTATCACTGTCCTTTTAAAGAAGATATATAACCTGCCAGGGGTGTTGTCATGTGTGCAACAAAAAGGCATAGTTTTATTTCAATAAATTTATCCAGTTCTCTTATTATTTGGAGTTCATAGAATTTAAATGCAGAGGTGTCACGCCCTTGGTTCAACTGTTAACTATTCTATTGAATTATCATAGGTAAATATTACAACTGGTCTTCTGGCTGGGGAGTTTTCTGTTAGATGGAATTCCAGCAGTTTCTCAAGGTGTCGGATCGTATGCTCTGACTTTGAAGGCTACATGAATACTGGATATTTAACAGCGGACTAATTGAGGATGTATTTGTCTAGTACTTATTTTAAGTCAGATTTGAGTATTGTGTTTGTACCTTAAGAACAATGAAGACCAACTTCACTCAAAGCTAACAGAGTGGATCAGGATTACAAGACACAGAAAAACAGCAGCGCTTGACCATGTCTATCACTGTCCTTTTAAAGAAGATATATAACCTGCCAGGGAAATATGACAGGAAAGTGGAATTGTCTTTTAGAGGTAAGTGCTAGATATAGAGGGATAATCATATTGTCATATTCTGTTTAATTGGGAAATAAATTATATGTACAAAAATGTAGTATTTATATAATGTGAGAAATAGAGGGACTAATGTGATATCTTTGTTTAAACTTGTATATGCAAGACTTTTATTTTACTATATTTAAAAAGGAAAAAAAAATGTTTACTGTCCAGGTTTTACTCACAAAACCAGGATCCTTCAGTGTGAGAATATAGCCATCTTCAACGAGGTAACTGTTTTAGTTGTGTTTATGGTGAAATTTTATGAAAGTTGTTTATGTAATTGCTACAGGATATTTAGAAAAGCAAAAAAAAGTTACCACTGCCGCATTAAGTTAAGATCATTAGTTGCTACAATACCACTCAAAAGTTCCTATGCTCCACGGCTACGTTTATTTGATCAGAAAAACGGCTACATTACAGTTTTACCCAACTGTTATCCATTAATATATTCATATTCATATATTTTAAAATGTAATTTATTCCTGGGAAAAAAAGCTGAATATTTAGAAGCCATTACTCCAGTTTTCAGTGTCACATGATCCTTCAGAAATCATTTTAACAAGAACTATTTACTATTATTATCAATGTCTTTACTCTCACTATTTGATAAATGTAATGCATCCTTGCTGATTAAAAGTATTACTGACCCCAAACTATTGAACAGTAGTGTGCTGGTTACCACCTTCACATTTTAGGCTATCTTTATTTTTTCATAATGCATTTGGGAAGACAACCTGTGAAAGCAACAAACGTAGCTGCTATTTCTTATAGAATGAAGATGAAATCAGTGTTTTATTGAGTGTGTTGGGAGAAGGTCTTCATGCTAACCACACCTTTAGTGTTTAGTCACCATGCTAGTTCTACCACAGGCACTTCAACATTCCCAAAGTCTTGTAAACAGCCACATCTATGAGCTCAGGTACAGTAATGAAATTACAATATTTGACTAGAGGTCTGTCACAAGGTTGTCCTTTAACTTAAGCTAACAGATACTGGAATGGTGGGAAGGACAAGAAAGTGAAGATAAATCCTGTTCAACACTGGCTTTATGAGGAGGAAGTCCTTGGGATTTTCTTTTATGAGAAATGCAGTGACCATAAAGAAGGGAGAGATCTAACACAAACACCACCATTGTTTTTTTATGAATTTATTTTATATATATCCACACACACTACCGCTCAAAAGTTTGGAATAATTAATAATTTGAAAGAAGTCCCTTATGCTGATTTGTTTAATATAGTAAATACAGTAAAGCATGAATATTATGAAATAGTTTTACAATTTAAAGTAACTGTTTTCTATTTATTATATTTAAAAATGTAGTTTATTGTAATATGCTAATTTGGTGCTCAAGAAACATCAGTGTTGAAAGAAAGCAAGGGCACAATAAATTGATCAAAAGTGACAGAACAAAACATTCATAATGTTATGATTTCTCATTAAAATATATGCTAAAAAGCACTGTTACCACAAAATGAATTAGGCAGCATAACATTTTTCAACATTAATAATATTTCTTGAACACCAAAAACAAAAAAAGAAAGAAAAAAACACATTTAGCCTGTGTCCAATAAATGAACATGTTTGTACATTTTGTTTGAATCTGTTATTGTGTATTTATATGACTCTAGCACTTCAGATGGCCTCACTATGGGAAGGTTGAGAGGGATGAAATTCTGTCAATCAGCATTTACAACTGCAGTAAGATGTTCAGCAACAGGTCAGCACATGAATCAGCCCTCATACTGAAAGTATTCATTATAAATAAGACGAGAGAAATGAACTAAATGATTCTTAATGAACATAATATTCCAAAACAATTCAGTATATTGCTGTGTGTGCACAGATTGCTGGGAAGGCTGGTGGTCAGCCTGCAGCATGTGGTGTCTGTGGGGCAGCTGCTGCTCCGTGAGCCCCTCACAGACGCTCAGCACGCTCTCACTGATGTGAGTGAAGAGCTGCTCTCAGAATACTCTTCATGATATTTTAACACTGGTGTGGTGAAGGGTTATTGAATCATTAGCTGTTGGTGTGGTGTTAGGTGTGATTGAAGCTCTTTTGTGTTGGTATGTGCTGATGGATTTTATCATGTAGATCTACATAGAGCTGGAGGTGAAGTACAACCCTCTTCAGGGGACTGCAGGCGGGTGGGACGGTGGCGACTTCATCAGAGAACAGGACACTGATGGGTGAGAGACATCGTTATGTTCATCTCATCCATCCATCTGTCCATTTATTCATCATTCCTTCCTCCCATCCATTCTTCCTTCCTGACCTATTTTCCCTTCTTTCATTATTTATTATCTTCCTTCCATCCGTTCCAACTTTGTCCCATCCATGCTTCCTTCCTTCCATCCATCCATTTCACACCTGCCTGCCTTCCTTCCCCTATTTCTTTTCATCTTCATTCTACTTCATTCTTTTTTCCCATCTATTCTTCCTCCCTTCTGTCCTTTCTTCCTTCCATTTGTCCTTTCTGCCTCTATTTCCTTCCTTCTGTTCTTCCTTCCTTCCTTCCATCCAGCAATTCGTTCATTAATTCTTCCTTCCTTCCTTCTATCCATTTTCCCTTCCTTTATTACTTCCACTGCTTTCTTACATCCTTTCTAACTTTTTCTTTCCTTCTTTTCTCCATCCATCCATCTTTTCTTTCTACCTTCTTCTTTCCTTCCATATATTCTTCCTTTCTATCTTCCTTCCATCCAGCCATTCTTCCTTTCTTCTATTTCTTTTCATCCATTCTTCTTTTCCTCCATCCTCCCTCATTCCCTACCTCCTTCTTTCCTGTCTTCCTTCCATCCATCCCTCCATCCATTATTCCTTCCTACCCTCTATTCTTTATTTTGTTCCATCTATCCTTCCTTTCTTCCCTCTATTCTTCATCCTTCGTCCTTCTTTTTACCTATTTTGAATGGATGGATGGACCCATGGTTTCATCCATTTAATATATAACTATGTCACATTTCTTTAGTTTTGTAATCTCTTTGTAAATCTGAGTTTTCTCTATTTCAGCTCAGAGCTTGTCATCAGGAACACAGGCTTTACTGAAGCAAAGTAAGGACATCTTCAGTAGATGTAACTCGCACACATTTTCATATCCTTTATACATGGAATTCACACTGATGTACTCAATCATTTGTAGCTCTTCAGACGGCCTGCGTCCTCAGCAGCTGGATCGTGAGACGAGAATGATTGGGCGCAGTCTTTTGAAAACTGATGATGAGAATGGAGACGAAGATGATGATAATGACTACGATGATGATTATGACTTTGCAGATATTGAATGTGCCAATGTGACATTCACTCCCATTTTGAGGTGTGTTTCAATTACCTTTCAGTATAATACCTTGCCATAAAAAGATCAATTGTATTGCAGTGCAATGTAATGCAATACATTCCACGTTGTATAACTAAAAATGACTCATCATGTAATTCCCATATTTGAAATTAAATCTGAGAATGTAACGAGTTTGATAAATAATACTGCTATAACTCAAGGCTTTTTTATGTGTGTAGTCGTTGCAGGGCTATAGCAAAGCACGAGCTTGCTGTCACACCTAAAGTGAAGTCTTTCCAGGTAAAACAATTAAATGAGGCCTGCTTATTTCATATACAAATAATTTTATAATTGTTTTCCTTATAGCCGACTCTGTTTGATGAGAATCTAGTATGTTTAGGTCTTTTATTTCACTCTTTTTTTCCCCTCAGTTGAATGTAAATGTGATTGAAGCTCAGAAACTGGTCGGGGTGAACATCAACCCAGCAGTGTATGTGACTATTGGGGATGAGAAAAAGCACACAGCTACTCAGAAGTCTACCAACTGTCCATTTTACAATGAGGTAACTACTTGCAAAGTACTCGGCATTAAGCATCTGAAGCTTTAGGCATCTCTTTGATTTGTCTTGTTTCTGTTTTTGTCTTTAAGAACTTCATGTTTGAATTCCAAGAGACACAAGATGTGCTCTTTGATAAAGTTATTGAGATTTCTGTAAGTATTCTCAGAGACACTATCGGACGGCAATTTAAGAGATTTAAAGGGACTTACATAAGTTTCTTACATACTGTATACAGCAGCTAAAATGGTTTTAATGTTATTTTGCCTATAATAACTGGTGATGCACATGTAAAAAGTGAAAAAATATACAGTATTGAAATGATAATTGTACTTAATCGGACCTTAATATTTGACTTGAGTAAAGTAAATTAATTTATATATTGCCATATTTTAAGTCATCTTAAACAATGTTTAATGTGTATGTTGTGTATGTATCGTGACCATTTGTTTTCTTATGTTTTAGGTGGTTCATAAGAAAATCCTTGCCTTTTTGATGTCCCGCATAGGAACTTTTAAGATCGACATCAGCACAGTGTATCAGCAGCCGGGTAAACCCAGATGAACCCAGTTTATGAAGCAAAAAGTGCTCATTGCAAGCTTTGATGCACACAGCTTAAGTAAAGATTACAGAAGTTGAGAGTTCATTTCATTGGTAAAATGATAATAACATTCCCTAGACATTTTAATGGTGATAATTAACTCATCACTGGTGCTAAAAAAAATAATGATTATAGGTCTAATTAAATACTGCAACACTGATCATTACAACAACTTATTATTATTATGTTTATTGATTTTTAAAAATGTTATTGGTTATTATACAAGAATCTCAGCCACACAAACATATACAACATTCTTCTTACATCACATATTTCACACCAAAACGCATAACTGCAAACACATACACACCCCTTTAAAGGGGGGGGAGGGGGGGTATTTGAGATATGATCAATTATGAAATAGTGTCCCATAAGGATTCAACATAAGATAAAAAGGGCTGCCAGACCCTATAAAACTTTTCAAAGGAGCCTCGGATAGTATACTTAAGATGATCAAGTTTAAGATAAGACATTATCTCTGCTACCCAGTGTTTGTGAGATGGTGGTCTTGCCTTTTTCCAACTGAGAAGAATAAGACGCCTAGCCAAAAATGACGAAAAGGCAATGATTTCTACCTGATTAGCTGATTGGTGCACTTCTTCCAGCACTACACTGAAAATGGAAGTCAAGGGATTAGGGTCCACACTGAAAAAAATGACACTAAATTTTTTAAGGTAAGTGGTTGCAAGCAATTGATTTTAGCTACATTAAAAAAAAATGTTGAAAGTTTATTTATCTAGTACATGTGTTTATTTAAATGTAGCTAAAATAAATTGATTGCAACTACTTACCTTAAAAAATTTAGTAAATTCAATGAATCATTTTTTTCAGTGCATGTCTTTGTCACATATAGATGTAAATGTTCTGAAGATGTCTATCCAAAAATGTTTTAATCTGGAGCATCCCCATGATCATTACAACAACTTAACACATCCAATATATATCTCACAGATCACCGTTTCTACCAGAAATGGGCTCCGCTTACTGACCCAAAAGATACCCGCTCGGGAATTAAAGGCTATGTGAAGTGCACAGTGAGTGTGGTGATGAAAGGAGACCCCATGGGCATGGTCAGCTTGGCACCAGCTGACAGCCAGAATGATGACATTGAAAAGTAAGCCTTATGTTAACATGGCTGTTCTCCTCTTAAGGACACATCCCCCCTAAAAGAAACATTAATATTAGATGTTTGGTTCTTTGGTCATTGACATTAGTATGTTCAGTAGACAGTTTTCAGCATCTGAAACTTTTTCATGTGGCATGCAGGAACCTTCTCCTTCCAAAGAGGATGCCATCAGAACGTCCTTGGGCAAAGTTTGTCCTGAAGATCTTCAGAGCTGAAGGTCTGCCCAGCATGAACTCAGGTTTCATGGGGAAGATAATGAGAGACAAGAAAGTTTTCCTCGACCCTTATGTTCAGGTCACATTCTCTGGCCAGCAGGTGATTTTCTTTCAATTTTATTTTGAATGAGATATTTTGTTCTAACATAAAAGTTTTAAACAGGAAGAACGGAAAGTCCTTCTCACAATATGTTTGGTTGCATTGTTTCTTTCATACATGGTTGGATTTTACTATTTAACAGTAAAATTACCTGAATTTAAGTTTCTTTTCCATATAATATCTACATACTTATCCTATGTGAAATGACACATTTGTCAAGGGATACACAAACACGCACAGTCTCACACCCTGATGGTGCGTTTGTTTGTTAAATGGGCTGAGGTACCGTCAGTATTTGAACTGCTCTCTGAGTCTTTACCACACAGAGTATTGGCAAACATTTCAGCTCAAAATAAGTTGTTATGATGTCAGAGTTTGTCTCTGACAAAGTTCAAGTGGAGTCAGGAGCCAAACCTAAACTCTCTGTTCTTATCTAAGTAACACATGCTATATAGGTGCATCTCAATACATTAGAATGTCATGGAAAAGTTCATTTATTTCAGTAATTCAACTCAAATTGTGAAACTTGTGTATTAAATAAATTCAGTGCACACAGACTGAAGTAGTTTAAGTCTTTGGATCTTTTAATTGTGATGATTTTGGCTCACATTTAAGTGTCGTTCCAAGCCTATTTGACTTTCTTTCCTCTGTGGAACACAAAAGGTGATATTTTGAAGAATGTTGGCAACCAAACAATTGCGGTTCCCATTGACTTCCATTCGATTTTTGATAACCAACATTCTTCAAAATATCATCTTTTGTGTTCGAAAGAAAGTCATATAGGTTTGGAACGACATGAGGGTGAGTAAATAATTAGAGAATTTTATTTTTTTTGGTGGACTATCACTTTAAGTACAAATGCATTTCTGAAACCCCAGTCATGTATCTGCATCCACATTTTAACAAGATACCTTCATGTTACCATGCTTTTTAAACAACTTCTACTTTATTATTTTTCTGCAATCTACTTCGCCTCTTTCCTCCATCCATCAGGTTTCAATCCCACCTTTGGCCCTACTTGGGTCAATCTCTACGGCTCTCCTCAAAACTCCACGCTGAGAGACATCCACAGGGATCTTAATGAAGGTCTGAGTGAAGGGATCTTCTATAGGGGCAGAATACTGCTCTCGCTGAGTGTGGAGGTTTATTCCTCCCCTACAGTTGTGGTGACGGAGAGTAAGACCATTGCTAATGTGAAAAGCAAAATGAGCAGGCTTACTCTTAAACGCAAGAGTCGAAGGTCCAAGGAGAAGACGGCAGGCAAAGAAGGTAGTGTCAAAATATATAAATGCTTTAAGAAATATGTGTGGTGAAGTGGTGCTAAAATGAATCAATTTATTTGTGCATCCTGAAACGGGGCTAAACATAACAACATTAGCTCGGCCAATAGTGTGACATTTGGGTCAGGGTTACCTCTTTGTTCGACCAATGGCAGATATCAGGAGTGTCTAAAATTGGTTTGTCATTAGTGGCTATATGTAATGTAAAATTTTTATTTTATTCAGCAATGCAGAGTCCCAGTGGGCCTACTGAGGAGTCTGAAGATGTTGGCGCTGAGGTACCAGCTGCCGTTACAGTCGAAGTGGAAGATGTTCACCCTCTTCCTGAGGTCAGTGGCCAAGTTTGACTGATAGGAAGAGAGAAGACACTCTACCATGTTCTATTTCGGCTTATACAAGAGTTAGTCCTCCAATTTTAATTGGCTGAGCAGCATGACATGACAGCATCCCAACTGTGTGGGAATTTTTTAGTGACTGTTTCTGCAGGTTACATCGTTACAGCAAGTGGTGACGAGTCTTTATGAGTGAATCAGAGAATCATTCACTCAATTGATTTATTCACAACACTTATTCAGTTCAAAATACTGAATCATTCACTACTGTGTGCTGCTTGGAGACTCACAGAGGAGGAAAAATAGACAACAGAATTTCCAATATTGTGTCTAAAATGTTCATTACTTGTTTACTAAACTTTTGTCTAAAAGTAATATAACACAATTGTGCTGATGTTATAAACAATCATTATTACGTGTATTACATTTAATCAATGGTGTATCTGTTATTTCCTCATGCAGAATTTCACTGGAGAGAAGGATGAATTTTTGTTGTTTGCGTCCTTCTTTGAAGTGACGATGATGGATCCTTCTATTGGCTCCAAACCAGTCACCTTTGAGCTGTCTATAGGTAAGATTAGACTGTTTTATCTCATAATATAAAAAGTATGAGTATAAACCACTCATACAAAAGTTTATGTAGAGCTTTATTTTATTTCAGTTTTAGTTTTTAGCAATTTAGTATGTAAACTTTAGTTGCTAGTTGGCACGGCCACATTTCTATATATATTTTTTTTTATAGTTTTCATCTATTATTTATATTGTCACTTATTTCAGAGTTATTCGTTTAACAAAAAAAAAATTCTTTAAATATTTTTGGTTTTAGTTATATTTAGTTACGATAACACTGCTTCACAGGGAATTATGGGAAAACTACAGATGTTGTAGTGAAGTCCAGCAAGAGTGGTAGTCAGGAGAATCTGGCTGAGGTTACTTTTATTCAATTCACATGAGATTTATTGCCTATTTATGACAAGTCCATTCAGTCCAACTGGGAAATGAGCCATTCAGCCTTTATTGATTGCAATTTTTTGTCTCAGAGATTGTTAAAAGATTTTATTCTTTGTAGGTGATGGAAGAAACTCTGTCGCCGACGTGGTGTGAGTTACTCCTCTATGATCAGGTTCTGATGGAGGGCAGTAAGGACGAGTACAGAGAAGACCCTCCTGTGGTCATCATCAACATCTATGACTACAATAAACTAGTGAGTGATAGAAATGCTGTAATCTGTGAATAAACTGTAAATAGCACTTTAAAAAAACCATGCTTCAACAAAAGCATTGGTTTGGTTCTAACGGTAGTACATTTTTAAATCAAATAAATAATAAAGCTGCACTCATACAATGTTAATGTCATAGCATATTGGTTATTCCTGTTTAGAAAGTCTACGTATATAGTGTATAAGAGCATATAACGTCCATGAATAGTCTAGAATATGAGAAGTCAGACTTATGATTGTTAATTATACTGTGCGATTTATTTGTGGTGCGTTTGAATGTTACAACAGGGCAGTCCACAAGTACGATAACACTGCTTCACAGGGAATTATGGGAAAACTACAGATGTTGTAGTGAAGTCCAGCAAGAGTGGTAGTCAGGAGAATCTGGCTGAGGACAGACAGCTGCTGTTGGAATCAGACGATGAGTTGGAGAGAGATGAACTTCTGAACCCTGGCCCTCGAGACAAATCCGTCACCCCACCCAGGAGACCACAGCCCACTGAATACGACAGGTGAAATTACATTCTCAAGACTGACAGCTTATCGTTATGTGGAGTGCAGCAGGATTATGCAAGAATAGCAGCTAACGTTATCATTTTTATCATCCAGATCATTTAGTTGCATTCCCTTATTCCGAGAGAAACCATGTATCTTTGTGTGGAGCTGTTTTGAGGATCACACCTTCCGATTCCACAACAGCAATTGGTTGTCCAAGATGGCTGACCGACTGGCAAGTGACACTGAGCAGAAATATAAGATTGTTTCTTTAATGAGCAGAATTACGAATATGACAGTCTAAAATGTGTTACAGTCCACATGCTACCTTATTCTCCTCATGTCATTCCAAAAGCATCTATTTCACTTGACTGTTAGAAAATGGAATTTTCTTAGTTTGACTTGTGTCCTATATTCTTTAAGGAAAATGGCATTGATGAAGTGGAGATGCTGTTGAAAAGATCAAAAATCAAGGCTAAAGAACGTTTGGTTGATGTCGCGCTGGAATTCTTTTCCACTTGCAAGTAGGACACATTTGCATGACTATACTGGGTCTGTATTTCCCCTCTTACATCGTACATTATAGATAATAGAAAGATTGTTCTCACCGCTCTTAGGCAGTACAGCAGTAACTTAGACAGGAAGAGGAATGCTCGTCAAAACACCCTGGATAAGTGTCGTGTGGGGCTCATCAAAAGGAACATTGTGAGTGACTGTATTGATTTTGGTATTACAGAAGTATGCTGATGAATTATATGGTTAAACCCACTAAGAGTCTTCATTGAGAATGTGATATGAATTGCAGGTTTTGCTGGCCAAGCAGGCCCTGAGAGTGAGAAAGAGAGTGACCAGAAATACGGTTAAAGACAGACTAGCAGATGTCAAGAATATCGCAAAGAGGCTCCGCTTTCTGGCCATAGAAGTAATGCTATCAAGATTTGCTGTGTCTTATTGTTTACCTCAATTTCTATCTAAAAATGCATGTTGTTTTTTTACCACCAGAACTGTATGTAAGTGTTTGTGTTCTCATATGGCAGCCTCAGAGCACTCTCCCCGATGTGTTTTTGTGGATGCTGAGTGGAGGGAGGCGAGTGGCCTACACCAGGATCCCAGCACCCTCCATCCTATTCTCACTGGTGGAGGAAGAGAAGGGTAAAGACTGCGGGAAAATCACTGCTGTGTACATGAAGGTGAATTCCTACTTCATATCACTTATTGCAAAACCTTTTTCTGTCCAATCCAGTTTTCATGATAGATTCTTAAAATAAAACTGGCATGAAGTAGTTTGAAAATGAACTATACTATACATTAGCAATCATTAATATTGCCCACTCAAAAAAAAAACAACAACATTCACATACGCATGCTTTGTATGTATTATTATAGTACAGTACAGTCATACAATTAGATGCAATCACAATTATTTTGCAATTAGATTTTACAATCTAATGTTTTCTTTATCCTTACTAAAATGGAGCAACATATTGCTTATTTGTATTGTTTATTATTGTGTTTTTTGTTGTTAAAAATGTACATCAGCATACAATCAGTGAGAGTTGTGTATTTTTTTATAAGATAAATGCAGCTTTGGTTGAAGAGATGTCTTTCAAAAGCATTAAAAAATCTTGCTGACCCCAAACTTTTGAACAGTATTCTATGGCTTATTTTTGTTTTTTTCATTCTTTTGTTCTGTAGACCCCTGGAGGAGCAGTGGGGGAAATTTTCGCCAAACTGGAAGTATATATGTGGCTTGGTATCACAAAGTACGCAAAAAACTGTGTCACCAGCCTTCCAGCAGAGTTTAGACCTATTTACGAAGAGGCGACTTCTGGTGCATCAATTCCCCGTAACATGCCTCCCACCAAATTAGCGGTGGAAGGTACTTCCAGTTCATTTTAGCTTATACAAACATCTCGGATATTCTCCATAATTTGTCTCTGCTTTGAAAATTAATATATTTTAATTTGGATGACATTTCATGAAAATTACAGTCCCTCCTTTTGTCCTTTCATCCAGACAGTCGTTATTTCCAGTTACGTGCTCACATTTATCAAGCGCGTGGCATTATTGCAGCCGATGACAATGGACTGTCTGACCCCTTCACCAAGGTTGTGTTCAGCACACAGTGTCAGGTCACACGGGTGGGTCTCATATATATTAACACATAAGTTATTTTTTTCTCTGTTCCCAATAAAAAGCACTGGATAGGAAAAGCACTAAAAACTTACTTTTATTCAATTCACATGAGATTTATTGCCTATTTATGACAAGTCCATTCAGTCCAACTGGGAAATGAAGGGGCATAGAAATGAGCCATTCAGCCTTTATTGATTGCAATTTTTTGTCTCAGAGATTGTTAAAAGATTTTATTCTTTGTAGGTGATGGAAGAAACTCTGTCGCCGACGTGGTGTGAGTTACTCCTCTATGATCAGGTTCTGATGGAGGGCAGTAAGGACGAGTACAGAGAAGACCCTCCTGTGGTCATCATCAACATCTATGACTACAATAAACTAGTGAGTGATAGAAATGCTGTAATCTGTGAATAAACTGTAAATAGCACTTTAAAAAACCATGCTTCAACAAAAGCATTGGTTTGGTTCTAACGGTAGTACATTTTTAAATCAAATAAATAATAAAGCTGCACTCATACAATGTTAATGTCATAGCATATTGGTTATTCCTGTTTAGAAAGTCTACTTATATAGTGTATAAGAGCATATAACGTCCATGAATAGTCTAGAATATGAGAAGTCAGACTTATGATTGTTAATTATACTGTGCGATTTATTTGTGGTGCGTTTGAATGTTACAACAGGGCAGTCCACAAGCCCTTGGTCGTGCATTTGCAAAGCCAGAGTTGAAGTTTGTGGAAGAGCCATATAAAAAACCCCAGCTGCAGTTTTTTGAGATCACAAAAGGCAAGAGCAAAGCTGGTGAAATTTTGGCAGCTCTTGAGCTCATCGAGTTGGATTACTCAAGCTTCGGAGAGGTGGGATTCCAGTTTTTCTCATTAATTTCACTGCAAAAGACAGTGAGAAGAGTCTAGCTTAACACACATATAGACATGACATGACTAAGCATTCATTTGTCTGTTAGAGAGCAGCTTAATACACCTGAATGAATGGAAGGATATATATTAAAATATTGAATGGTTTTGAAAGTAGTCTCTTTATGTTTTCCAAGGCTGCATTTATTTTATCAAAATACAGTAAAAACAGTAATATTGTGAAATAATATTATTATATTATATTATATTATTAACTTGTGTCTTCTACTTTAATATATTTTAAAATGCAGTGTATTTTTTAAGTCACAGAATCTTTCAGAAATCATTCTAATATATTGATTTGGTGCTCAAACAACAATTCCTATTATTATTTATGTTGAAAACAGTTGTGTTGCTTTTACCTGATGGTAAAGATGACTTGTAGCCAATCCTCCACCTCTATATATATCAGAAAGTCTTAAAATATGCCCTTTAAATGTCATGTTTGTGTGCTCTGAATCCATCTCAGCCAGCTCTGCCACTGGATGTTGACCCCAAGGAACCACAGTACATGGAAGAAGAATGCTATTATATCATTCCCGAGGGAGTTCGACCTGTGCTCAGGAAATACAGAATAGAGGTGCAAACTTAAACAGATATGAACTGAATAAAAGTTGCAAGAGTTTTATTTAACGTCACAATTTAAAGGTTTTCAATGCCAAAGAACAAATTGATTTATCAGATGTGTTCATAAATCACTCCCCAAGAGAGTGTTTAAAATAGCAGCATGGTTTGACCTACTGCACAAGTTTGCCAGCTGACTGGTTTGGTACAGTGTTTTGAACTCAAACCCTTAAACGGCAGGTGCTGTACTGGGGCCTGAGGGACCTGAAAAGAGTCAACCTGTTTGAAGTGGAGCGACCTCAAGTGAGGATTGAGTGTGCGGGCCACATGATCGAGTCGGAGGAAATTCAGAGCTACAAGCTGAATCCCAACTTCAACGATTTGGTTAAACACTTTGATGTTGTAAGACTCCCTCTTTTCAAAGTATTAGACCTTATCTCAAGAGCTGTGTTGAGAACATGCTTGCCATACAAACATTGATCACATATCCTGTTTCAAAATTACTAAAAGCAGTAGTGGTGAGATGTCTTGCTCAGAATTATTTATTACACAATATATGAAGTCTTTGTTAGTTGTAGTAGGTTTTTATTTGTGATTGTTTGGTGCATGGTGACTTTTGCTAACACCAAAGCAGTACAGAGTTCTGGCATGAAACTCTAGATGGCGCAGTCCGATAGGTCTAACTCAATCTGACCTAATGACATCATTATCACATGGCACAGCTGATTGGTTCTCTCCTGTATCGGTAGCCAATGAGCTCGCTGCTCAACATTCAAATATATGACTAGTGCTTGCTGTAGCAGTTGCAGCTTGCTTCAGAAACCCTCCACCTTCCCCAGCTCCACCTGTATAGATCTGCTACGAGGTGATTCATGTATGCTATATGGTTTTTTTTTCATGTATGTTGTATTTGCAGCAGCAATATTTCTTACATGCTCACAGCAGCATGTTGTGGATGTATTGGCAGTAGCAAGTCTCGGTACTTGCTCTGCCGCAGCAGCAGCAGCGTAGCAGATCTATTCCGCCAAGACCAAATACATTAACATTGTCATGTACATTACCATGCCAATCCCTCCGAGAGTTGTCATGACAGAAATAATTTTATATGTAACATCCTATTAAACATTAAAAAAAGTAAGCATTAAATATTTGATGAGGATGATTTAATATTAATCATCTACTTGCTTTTATTATCATAACCGCACAATAGCTCATAACTGGTTATGTGTCCTCAGGAACTTCCAGAGCTCGTCTACCTGCATCCTCCTCTTACTATCTTCATAATGGAGCAGAGGGCATTTGGGAGGCTGGTCCTGGTGGGAACTCACGTGGTCCAAAACCTTGTGCAGTTTGGTCCCAGGGACCAAGAGGAGTGGAAAGACGAGGAGGAGGAGCCTGAGGGTATGGAACCTTTTATAGCACATATGTTTGTGGTTTAAAGGCCAAAAAATAAAGCATCTGCTGTTCTGATATGTGTACATAAATAATTTACATTCAGAAGTGCACCAGACTCTCTTTCTTTATAAACTAGGATGGCATGAAACTTTGCTGAAATGAGAAAAGACACTGACCACACTTATATGCACATTATTCTTATTTAGGATCTATATTGTGGTTAAGTTAGAGGATAGTTCTGAACATTAATTCAATTAACTAATTTCTCATTCATGCTCTTAACAGCAACACACATTAATCACTTCCAATAAATTGCAAAATGAGAGCTCATGAGATTCCTATAGCACTTTTTGCTTATTTCTTGTATTGTTTGTAAGTCTGATTGATCCAAAAATGTTTTCATTCAAAACAACTGCCTATTGCATTCATAATTACATTAATTTGGATTGCATTGCATTGAACAGTGGATGCTCTAAATAAGATGTAAGTTGTAATAATATTTCATAATAAGACTGTACTGTTTGTACTGTATTTTGATCAAATAAATGCAGCCTTTGTGAGCAAAAAACACTTCTTTGAAAAACAAAGTATTTTAATCATATTTTAATCAAATCACTGTTGACTGGTTTTTAATATAGAATATAGACTATAGTTTTTAATATATTTTCACATAGAAAATTCCTAAACATTCGCTCACAATTTTAGAGAAGAAGCCTCCCCAGAAGACCACTCCTCTAACCACGGTGATCACCATGGACTTGGGTGGACTTCCTCTGAAGCATAGCAAAATTCCTGTTAACCTCCTTAAATTAGTCACGGTAAGTTCCACTATCTTTTTTTTTTCAGTCCATAAGAATGAACACATTCTGTAGTGTTCCTCAAATTGCTACTCACCATATGTGTGAAACAGTTCAAAATTGTATCTGCCATCTTCCACCACTTTTCAGAGGTTTTGCAAACACTTTTATTCAGACAGCTGCCTTGTGGTCATGGGGTATCCAGTCTGGGTGAAATGACGTTAGTTGGCTGCTTTGGGATGTTTGAAATAACTCCTAATGAGTACATAGCGCACATTTTTTAACCATCCACAGCCTGCAGTTATTAAATGTGAAGCCCTTTGCACCCATTAACCTGTTGATTATGGTGTGAATCTGCTGGTTTGTTGAGCGCAGTGAAGTGTGTTCCTGTGTCAGTTTGAGCTCCTGCTGTTAGATCACTCTGATTAATTGGGCAGCCACTGCATAGCCAAGACCCCTGCTGACATCCAAATGGGATGCTTTCAATCATGAGTGTGTGCATTTGGCTTTTAAAAATCCATGTTCATGTTTAGAGTGTAAAGGCCTGTTCACAAATTAAAGGATAGGAATTACATGAGGGTGAGTAAATGAGTTTTAATTTGAAAAATAATGGATAGTGGAAAACTCCATTTTCAGTCTCCAATCAAAAAGGTGGTTAAAAAAGAGGAGGAGCTAGAGGAGGAGCCACCAGAAAAGGAGGAGCTTGATTGGTGGTCAAAATATTATGCATCACTGGCTGAACTCGAAAAACAGGTGATAAATTATTTTGATAATAGATTGTATAAACTACGTGCTTTGTTGATTTTTCTCAACATGTAAATGACTTGTTTCCATCTTTTCTTCAGGAGGAGAAAGAGGATGACTTGGAAGATGGACATGATGGAGGTATTATAAGAGCAAGCATGATTGAATTGTTACTCTATTATAAATGATTCAGCATTTTTGAACAAATCAGTTGAGTGAATAAATCAATGACTCATTCATAAATACTTACATCACTTGTATCAGTAAATGTATCGGCTTCTGAATTTGGAATAACAGCAAATTCAGACATCTGAATGAAACCAGTTGGACAGAGGCCTAAAACATATTTGGGCGCTTAAAATTTGATTATCAAATGCATTACATAACAAAATACCAAACGTAGTTGAACAAGACATGAACTTGTTAGTCTGCTGTGTGAATTACTCCAAACATGCACTAAAAATCAATTATGGGTGGATTGATATGGGTGAAATTACTTCTGAGAAAGGTCTAGCGTAATTTATTTGTGGATACCATTTGGTTTGAACTTTCTTGTGTGATGACATTCAGACCTTTTTAGTTTTACCTAAGTGACCACATCCTCTGCTTAGGACGTCTGTGTGAATCTGAAGGTAAATTACTTCATACATGCACTAAAAATCAGCTATGGGTTGATTGAAAGTGAAATTACTTCTGATGAAAGGTCTAGCATAATTTGTTTGTGGATGTCACTTGGTTTCAGCTGTCTTGTGTGATGACATTCACACATTTTTAGTGTGAACTAAGTGGCCACATCCTCTGCTTTAGGATGCTTAGGACTGAATGTATTTCAAAGCATCAGTGTAATGTCACATTCTGCAGATGGAGCACCATTGAGCATGTTAGCACTAGAGGCAGAGGATGATGAGGCTGTGATTGAAATAGAGTCGCCTGCTCCAAAGAGGAAGAAAATTGCCACCTTACAGGTTTGACATGTTCTTCAAACTGTAATTCTTTTATTTAATTCAATACAGTGTTTACAGTGTTTTATTTCTGCTCTTCAGCCATCTAAAACTATTTGCAATTTACATTTTCTGTCCTTTTTCTTTTTTCCCCCCTTTTTTTATTTAATTCCCCAGCTTTACAAGTCTGAACTTGAAAACAATTTCAGTCAGTTCATGGACTGGTTGCACATATTTCCTGTATACAAAGGCAAATCCAGCCTGGAAGACGAAGAGGAAGATGAAAGTACAAGATATATGGGTAAATATAAGGTGAGATGTGCGTTTTGGCAAGCTCTCATGCACTGGATCAACAGTGTGGCAGCATGCATGAAAAACGTCAAGGATTAGAGGTTAAAGCAGATCTGTGCTTCATTGCAGGGATCGTTTCTGATATACCCCATCGCTCCCGAAGATGAGGATGCAGACTGTCAGATCACTAATGGGATTCCCAAAAATGCACCCATCAAAGTCCTTGTGAGGGTATATGTAGTAAAAGTAGGTACCTTTTAAAAAAAAAAATTTTTTTTAATTAATTTTATTGACCACAAATAATTAATTGACAGAGTGGGCATGAATATTTTAGACAGTTTATATGAATGTATGAGGGAAAGTTTTATATTTTATTTGTTGTCATTCTTTCTTTTAAGTTGGTATGAAACGGCCTATCTATTTTCTAAGTGCATGTTATTGATCTTATTGTGAATGATTCATCCATGCTTGTTTCTTTCTTTCTCTCTCTCTCTCTCTCTCTCTCTCTCTCTCTCTCTCTCTCTCTCTCTCTCAAAACCTCTTAATTTTATGGTGAAACATTAGACTTCTCTCTGTCTCTCTGGTAACGTATGCCAGACTTCTCCAATCATTTAGTCTGCCTAAACTATTCTTGTTTCTTAGAAATGACTGAAATCTTGCATTCAGCCTTTATTGTTATTGTTTTTATTGTTTTTTATTTATCTATCTCTCTCTCTCTCTCTCTCTCTCTCTCTCTCTCTCTCTCTCTCTCTCTCTCTCTCTCTCAAAACCTCTTAATTTTATGGTGAAACATTAGACTTCTCTCTGTCTCTCTGGTAACGTATGCCAGACTTCTCCAATCATTTAGTCTGCCTAAACTATTCTTGTTTCTTAGAAATGACTGAAATCTTGCATTCAGCCTTTATCCAGTGAACAACCAATGCATAAAATCAAGTCCGCCCTCTACATTTTTTCTTTTATGATAATCCATTTCCCTCTGATGTACATCACAATACAGAAGAAAAGAACTGTTGTTACATAGCAACTTTACATTTTAATTTTTGTATAATCTTTTACATTTTGTAGATAAATAGTCTTGCATGTATTTAAACAAGAATTAGAAAAATGTTAAATGGTTTTAAATGGAGCATGTCACATTGAAGGGTGCATTGCTTGCATCACAACGGTACAGTTTTCTACCATTTCCCCTTATATTTTCTGTGATTTAAATCTGAATCTGAATGTGAACTGTGAACTATGCTTTTTTTTCCTTTGAACCCCAAGGCAACCAATCTGGCACCCACAGATCCGAATGGAAAGGCAGACCCCTATGTGGTGGTAAAAGTTGGCCAGCAGCAAATGGACAGCAAAGAGCGCTACATTCCCAAACAACTGAACCCAGTGTTTGGAGAGTAAGTGCCGTCTGTTCACAAAATGAATGAATGTTCACAACATTCAGTATGGTGGCTGTAAGAATGAAATATTAAATGTAATTTTTCATAGAGGCTTTGCATGTACAGTATTTTTAACTCTTGAAGGCACATGCACATTGACAGCCTGAACTACAACTACAGTTGTAGCTTGAAAACAGCATGATTTAAGATAAAAAGGCTAAATCTGTGATATCGTTATTCTCAGGTTTGGTTACTGATTTGATATCTTGAGCACTTGTCTCCCCACAGAGTGTTTGAATTGACCGTGTCCTTCCCCCTGGAGACAGAGCTCACACTGTTTGTGTTTGACCATGACCTTGTGGGTTCTGATGACCTGATTGGTGAGACCCGCGTGGACCTGGAGAACCGTTTCTACAGCCGCCATCGTGCCGGGTGTGGCCTGGCTCTTCATTATGATAAGTGGGTAATGGCTTTAGCCTGTGATGATGGTGGTGATAGTTATTATAATGATGATTAGTATTATTATCTTTGTCGTGACCACTACTGTCGTTGTCATCAGAATTTCTCAAAGCTCATTGACTGCTTTAAGCTCATATTGGGTAAGCTCATACTTCCTCTCAGAAGATTGTTTGCAGCTGCAACGTTTAAGATATTGAGATAAATCAAGCGGTTTTGTGGCCTGATTTTCATTTGACTCTCTACAGGTTAAATCAGTTTAGAATGTCTTGTGATTTCAGGGATGGCTATAATAAATGGAGAGATGCCAAGAAACCCACTGCGATATTGTTGGAGCTCTGCCGCAAAAATGGGATTCCATCTCCAGAGTACAGAGAGTCTGAAATTAAAGTTCTCAACAAGATCTTCAAAGTTCCCAATGAGGCTTTTCCAGAAGGTGAAAATACATTTATTCAAATAAAATAAAGTTTATAAAGCACCTTCATGTAATACAAACAGTAATTTTGTGTTCTGTTTCTTCAATGAAAAAATTAGTTTGGCATAAAACAGAGATGGAAAAAATATCCACATCTTTTTATTGTTTTATGGCACTGAAGTCCAACATTTGCTTTTGTCTTTGTCAAAATGCAAGCAACGTGTGTGTGTGTATATATATATATATATATATACATACACATACAGTCCCATGGAAAGGTTTTTGCCCCCTTCCTTTTTTAATTTTTTGCATATTTGTCACACTTAAAAGATTCAGATAATCAAACAAATTAATATTACACAAAGATAACCCGAATAAATACAAAATGCAGTTTTGAAATGATGATTTCATTTATTAAGGGAAAAAAGCTGTACAAACCTGCCTGGCACTACATGAAAAAGTAATTGCCCCCTAAATCTAATAACTGGTTGTGCCACCCTTAGCAGCAACAACTGCAATCAAGCGTTAACTGGCAATGAGTTTTTCACATCGCTGTGGAGAAATTTTGGCCCACTCTTCTTTGTAGAATTGTTTTAATTCAGCCACATTGGAGGCGCTTGAGGTCACAAACTGATGGCCGAACATTCTCCTTCAGGATTTTCTGATAGATTGCAGAATTCATGGTTCCATCAATTATGGCAAGTCACCCAGGTCCTGAAGCAGCAAAGCAGCCCCAGACCATCACATTTCCACCACCATGTTTGACTGTTGGTATGATCTTTTTATGAAATGCTGTGTTGGTTTTATGTCAGATGTAACGGGACACACACCTTCCAAAAAGTTCAACTTTTGTCACATCAGTCCACAGAATATTTGCCCAAAAGTC